TCATATGAAGTGAATACTTAAAAACGAAAGTTAATTGAGATCATGGTATGAAGTGAATACTTAAAAAAACGAAAGTTATTATAAATCATACATGATCAATCATATTCTTGTATAAACCCATAATGAGAATGCTTCTTGACGGTTTTTGAATATGTATCTATGCTTACAATTTTTTCTGTTGCTATTTGAGAACTTTGCGTTTTGAAAAGAGGGTGTTGTGAGTTTTCATGGTATGAAGTGAATACTTAAAAAACGAAAGTTAGTTATAATCAAATATAATCAATTATATTCTTGTATAACCCACAATGAAAATGCTTCATATTTTAGGTTTTCTATAGTTACAGTATAAACAAAACAAAGTGGGTTGTTTAGGTTGAGTTTTCTTCCTCTCCTCTGGCAGCAGTCCACATGGGAAGGGGGGGGGGGGGGGCTTCACACTAAGGAGACACATTAAGAGGCCAAAGAGAGTTCATGTCCTTTTTACCTCATATGAAAGGGTGTCTTATCCCATAACAGCTGTGGAACATGTTGGGACATGTTCAGCCTTGTACATTATGCGCATGCGCGGTTTTCAACTGAATTGGGTGTAAGAGGAGGAGTTTGTTTTTTTTGGGTTTAGGATCCAGTTTTTTTTAGCATAAAGAGACTGGTTTTTTGAGAGAGCGCGAGAGAGGGGGGGTGACCCCTGGTAGACTCTCTCCGGGTAGGCTGTGTGCTTCAGAGCTGGGTTAATAGCTCTCGGTAAGGTCCTTCTAGACGGGGTAAATATCTCTCGAATGTATTGGTTGTTGGCTGAGTGGAATGATTTGATGAGTGAAAAGTGTATGGAATGTTATAAATACTGCCATCTGTGAGGAAAATCTCCCCTCCGAAATTGCAGACAGGAATGGGTTTTTAAATGTTATATCCGCCGTCTGTGTCGGAAAAAGTGTATGAAACTGAAGTGAATAATGGGTGAATGGAAAGTTGAATGCGGCTTTTATTGTCACCGGTCTTTTTACGAGGAAATACCTCTAAATTCTATCGGGAGAATTTTAAAATGTCACAACTGAAATGGGCAGTTGAAATTAAAACATTTTGGTAATAAATGTAAGACTGTGAATTAAAGTTTCATTTGAACATGATCACAGCACGGTTTTTTGTTAGGATGATTATAATGTTGTGAGAGAGAAGGTAAAAACCCTGTATTAGTTTGGACCTATTTTTCTTCAAATAAACTGAATCCCACCTGTTGGATTGGGATCCTTTAAAAGACACCTGTGCCCTCCTCTCCTGCGTCAAAGGTAAGATTGCCACCCTGCCACACACACTTAGGTAGGAGCACACTCCATTTACTGATATCAAAATCCTTCGGGATCGCTTAAAACAGATTTAAAAGAGAGTTGTCTGAATTGAAACAGCAGTTAATTGAACCTGGTTCTTCGGGGGGATTAGGAAGAGGTGAGATCTTGCTGACGTTGGTGGATCTGAGCCACGCAGCAAACTTACATAGACTCAATAATCTTCGGAAAGGTCAATTAGGAGGTCAGAATAATTTACCGGAATAAATTATCAGGACCTCTCAAACTCTAAACAACAAGTACTACAGTATCTTTCTAAAGATAAACTATAACATTACATTTAAATCACGAGATGTTTCATGAGATTATTGAACACATGAGCTCCAGACAAAGCAACACAGAAACACGTTTAAAATGTGTGATTTACCACAGATCTCCCTGATGATCAG